GTGTGTGTGTGTGTGTGTGTGTGTGTGTGTGTGTATGAATGTAATAATTCAACGATTGAATTGGGCACGCATATTCCCAAAAAAACCATGGAGCATACTGCGGTCTAACAAGTAGCATATTTACAAGATACCGATTTATCTATTGATAACTCATCTACCTACCTCCAATCTTTAAAGAGAATTCGGCGCGCCGTTCGGACCGGTGCACATAGGCTCTGTTCGCCCGAGACTACCCGGCAGGTTACGCAGAAGTCCACATTATCACTGCAAACACGGACGAAGAAGGTTATGTCTCAGATATTACCATGTCAGTCTGGGGCGACACAGGTCACGGGTGTGTGATCTCGACATATTGGCAAAGACAGCGTAATACGCAATATATAGCGGGGTGGCCACTGTGCGGGATCTAAAGCGGGACCAAAAGCGGGACTACATGGGCGCCTCCAAACCTATTTATAGAAAACATATATCTCAGATAACACCATGTCAGCTGGAGGCGACAGAGGTGAGGGTTGGGTGACCGCGAAATGTTGATCAAGACAACATTGTACGCAGCATATAGAGATGTCGCCACTGTGCCGAATCAAAGAATCGAAACAATATAAACCGGGATGAAAAGCGGGATTAAAAGCCGAATCAAAAGAGAGACTGCAAGGACGCCTCCTACAAGCTACTTCAAAATGACGTAGACTTTTATCGTCAAAGTGGATTGGATTGTTGGATGGAGTGTGTCAGCAGTACGCCACTGGAGCAGAGCCAAACTTCAAAAGCAGACATGTACTGCCCCAGGTATACATGTATGTGTAATAGATGGTGCGTCATATCCGTAAATCGTACGTTATCTAACTTTGTGGAAATTTGCGGCTGAACAAATACTATCCCTTAACCATCACACACAGTGATGCACGCCATCAAATAATGGACACACGTGTATGCATGTACCAACATGCATACTTACTGTGTAATACACAAGAATACAAAACGAATAAACACACGACGTACTGCCAGATATGTGAACACACAGCACCCACGAACTGAAGATGTATAAGAGGCAACATCATTACATGCACACACACTTCTGCAGACGCACTATATATGATTTTCACTACTAACAAGCTACTACACCCTAATTCGCTCCGCATACATAGATTATTCCCCATCTCACCGCTCAACTCCTCGACATAACAACCTGATGCATTGTGGCACCTCTACATACCGTACGTACCATACAGTAATCAAGGTGAATGTGTATGGAAATGAAGGCGAATGTGTATGGAAGTCAAGGTGAATGTGTATGGAAATCAAGGTGAATGTGTATGGAATTCAAGGTGAATGATACTAGGTGTACTGTGCTCACATACCTCTGATGCATGTGCTGATACCTACGATAGGGATCGTCCAGTAGCATTTTATAGCCAGCCTCGGCGTTCAATCCCTCCAGAATACCGCTGCAAAGAAAGCCCGATACTCCGTGTTAGAGGGTGTGTACGTGCATGAGAACATACGTATATGTGGATATAAGCCTACTTATGCAAGAGGGTGTGTACGTGCATGGGAACATATGTGTATGAAGATATAAGCCTACTTATGCTAGAGGGTGTGTACGTGCATGGGAACATATGTGTACGAGGATATAAGCCTACTTATGCTAGAGGGTGTGTACGTGCATGGGAACATGTGTATGAGGATATAAGCCTACTTATGCAAGAGGGTGTGTACGTGCATGGGAACATATGTGTATGAGAATATAGGCCTACTTATGCAAGAGGGTGTGTACGTGCATGCGAACATATGTGTATGAGGATATAAGTCTACCTATGTGCCTCGGGAGTGTTTCTCGCTCTAGGAGAGGGTAAGTATGTGTACGATATGGACTGCTCAGGGGTCTCAGAATTGCCCACCTGTGCGATATAACTTTACATATTTGGATCAAACCCTATACGCCTACAACAACTCCATAGGCGTGCTGCTTGCCAATATGTACGTATAGGATAAAAACTTCTCTATGGAAAATACATGAATGAGACGATACACCCAAACTCATACAGTAGGTTTATCCTGCGAATACAGCACCACCCACACATATGGACTTCTAGCTGGAAGAACACTGCTTGAGGCGATCTAAACAGAGCACAGGGAGTACTGACGGCGACAGTATGTACATGCACTCGTGGATTTGTGGAGTTTGTCCTATTGACTGGTTTATTATGTTTGCTTGTA